ATGCTTTCTCTATGCTTTCACTATGTTTTCTCTATGCTTTCTCTATGCTTTCTCTATGTTTTCTCTATTCTCTCTGTTTTCCTATGTTTTCTCTTTTCTTTCTCTATGCTTTCTCTATGCTTTCTCTAGGCTTTCTCTAGGCTTTCTCTATGTTTCTCTATGCTTTCTCTATATTTTCTTCTTCTTTTCTCAATGCTTTCTCTATGCTTTCTCTATGCTTTCTTTATGCTTTCTCTATGCTTTCTCTATGCTTTCTCTATGCTTTCCCTATGCTTTCTCTATGCTTTCTCTATGTTTTCTCTATGTTTTCTCAATGCTTGCTCTATGCTTTCTCTATGCTTTCACTATGCTCTCTCTATGCTTTCTCTATGCGTTATTTATGCTTTCTCTATGCGTTCTCTATGCGTTCTCTATGCCTCTATGCTTTCTCTATGTTTTCTCTATGCTCTCTCTATGTTTTCTCAATGCTTTCTCTATGCTTTCTCTATGCTTTCACTATGCTTTCTCAATGTTTTCTCTATGTTTTCGCTATGTGTTCACTATGCTTTCTCTATGCTTTCTCTATGCTTTCCCTTGTTATCTGACAGGGCAACCTCACAGATTCACGTTGAGTCGGAAAACCATCGACCGTTGAAGTTTCTGCCAGGTTACATAACCATGGTAATTCTCGACCAGAAGCCAATTCTGAAGTTGTTCATAGTTTGTACTGTTTCTGAGCAGCAAGCAATGAATCCATTGAAGGCATTCTGATCATTCTGAGCCTTTGTGCCTTGGTGACGCTCTGATGATGACCTGAAGAGTGATGTGCCTTGAGGCAGTGGGTTTCCGGCGGCATTGAAGTCAAGCCAGTCTTCCTGACGAGTTGTCATCTCTACTGCTGAGTCGCTGAACAACCATGAGTTGCAGAGAGTTACACAGTGATGATGACAATAGTTAATGAAGAATATCTAGACTCAGATCTAGATGATGAAGTTCGTGATGACGAATCTCAGATGCATCTCCCTTGAGATAATAACGATCTCTTGATGAATCTCTTGATCCAGCAAGCAGTGAATCAAGTGATCAACGGACACGATCCCAGCATGACGCTTGCTGTTGGCCTCAACAGCATCTTCCTGCCATACGGAAGTTCATCAAGGCGAATCACCGGAGCTTCGTCTAAAAACACCACGCCTTGTGGTTTCCCCTGGTCCATTGAGCTCGGAAGAGAACCCGCCATGGCTGGGAAAAACCACCAGACACGGCCTGGTAGATGTACAAAGAATGTCTCAGGATGTGTCAAACACCAGCACAACTTGCACAACTTGCACAACTTACACAACTTGCACAACTTGCACAACTTGCACAACTTGCACAACTTGCACAACTTGCACAACTTGCACAACTTGCACAACTTGCACAAGTTGCACAACTTGCACAACTTGCACAAGTTGCACAAGTTGCACAAGCCTTCTTGATCTCTTGATATCTTTTGTGGGTCCGGCCTCGCGGCGTCTGGCCAGTCTGGGCCATGTGGTAGAGAAGTAGACCTCTCAGATTGCGTTTAGTTCAGATTCGTCTTGGTCCTTCATTCAAAAAATATGTGCTATAGGATTGACCGAATCGCTAAACTGAGCACCTGCCAAAGGGTATCTTCGAGCTCAAGCACTCGCCATGCTTTACATCTGGGAGTGAAAATTGAAGCTATGGCCAAAGCAATATCTGTCTGCACAACTCAACACAGGTTTGTAGTGCACCAAGATATGATGGAATAGATTCTTATTAGATTCTTAATGCGTAGTGACTAGTCGTGACCCGCTCAAATGCTAGTCTCCTCCGTTTCTGAGAGCAGTACAGTATGGAGGAGGCTACAAGCTCCGACCACAAAAGGAAGCTGGCAACGCACAAGCGAACCTACCATCAATCGAATGCTGGGGGTGCTGGTGTGGCTTGTACCCACTTAGTCACTTGTAGCATCTTTCAAGTAGTTGATTCTGTTTGATTCTCTGGTCAATTGTGTTTCTGGCCAGCGGTTTCCCATGTTTCCTCACGCGCCTCCATTGAATCTGGTATTTGATGACCAGGCTTCACCATTTCCACCTTCGACAGAACAGTGGAGATAGTGGAGCCACGGGCCACTTTTTTCATTTGTGGTGGGTCCTGCCTGGCAAGCTTCGTTCTCAAGACTCACACGCTTGCAACACAAGCTCTCCTCCAAAGCAAGCAGCAGATCCTGAGCAAACGAAGAACACTTATCAAAAGTCAGCGTGTTTCTATGCTAGTCACCAATAAGTCACCAAACCCAATGCATCTGTCAAACTTCAGACCGAGTTCGTGTCCACATCTTCCTCCAGATCCTCCAGTTCCCCATCCCCATCTGGAGGTTCGTCTAGTTGGTCGAGGCGCTCAGCTTGGCGCCTCGGTCACAACTTGATTCTGCAGAAGCTCCACTTGTTGCAGCTCGACGAGTTCCAGGCTTGGCCATTGCATCGGCCATTGGACACACATCCCGCGGTCATGGCTGTCACTGCGGTTGTGCCATCAGTTCCGTTGAGGGATATGTTTGAGCTACTCTGATATTTTGATTTGAGCTGACTGACATTTGATTAATAATGATTAATTGACTTAACTTTAATTGTATCATTATATCATTGTATCATATCTGATGTTTCTTGGGAACTTAAGCAGCCGCTCTAGGACAGTTCCGTTGGTGGAAGTCTCCTGCAAGACAAGGCCTGGAGGCCTTGAGGGAGATGCCAAGGGCAGGTCATGTGAGAACTCCAAACAGTGGTTCAACCACTTGAATGCACTGGAGTGGGAGATAGTGGGAGTAAGTGCGCTTTAGCTCAATCTTTGCTCGAATTGGTCATTGGTTTGCGCTTGAACCAACAGGAAGAGCAGCAGCCCCTGCAGTGAGATCAAAATCACGTTGCTCTCTCAATTATGACGCGGGTGTTGACGGGGCCTAAAAACCCAAAACGACACAAACTAACCACGCACCTTTCCTCCTCCACGGGCGACGAGGGACTGTCTCATTATCATAAGACTGTACATTCCATACACCAAGCATGGATCAACCTGACCTGGTTCAATACAGGTAAGCTGGCAGCGTAGTAACAGCAGGCACTTCAATTTCTAGCGCCATCGCAATCGATGGCACAGAATCCTGGAACTACATAGAACGACTGGATGAGTTGTGCTTCTTCTGCCTTCACAATGCTCGCTGGCTACACACTGCACACCCCGCAGCCTTGCTTCACAAAGCCAGACCCAAGCTATAGACAGGTGCAGTGCACAAACCCTAACATTTGGAGGTCAAGAGTGCGGCAAGGAGGTTTCGCATTACCTTCGCTGCACTGGTGCTCAACTGCGCTGCTATTGCTCTTGGCAGCCTCTAGTAGAGAACCTCCAACACGCTGTACATAGCGGACCTGCCTCTCTGGCAGGTGTCCTCAAAGGGTTGAGCACATTCCGATTCCTCAGGTTCCTATTGGTCCTATTGGTCCTATTGGTCCAATTGATCCAATTGATTCAATTGATCCAATTGATCCAATTGGTCCCAGTCCCTCAGATTTATTTCCAGCACTCACGTAGGCAAAAGGCTTTGCCTCGATACGCCTGGAAACAACTCCACTCAAAGCATCCACGATTTTGGATGATTCCAGATTGACAACCAATTCCTGTTCCAAGCTGGCTGGCCATGGTGGATTTGTTGAGCACACCATTCCCCAAGATCAGATAACATAAACTTCGACCCTCGTGCACTTAATGCAGTGGTCGCACTGTCTTTTTCTGCAGCTTTGCAAGGTCTCACGGGAAACGGTCAAAGGTGTAGAAAACAACTTCATCGTTTGAACCAGCTCGCGTCCCAGCTGAAACTCTCTTTTTCAGACGGCTTGGCCCGCCAAGAGCTGCTAGTAGAGCAGCCTTGCGGTGCGACAGATTGTCAAAGCAGGGACACAGGTACACCACCACCAGTTACATCCAACTACAAGAAGTGTGACTCTGGTAACGGGGAAAAACACACACAACACAACATCTCGGCCACACTGGCTGGAACGAAATTGTCTGTGTCTCATGAGATTAATGACCAGACTGGGAGTGCTTTGCAGGCCTTGCGTCTTGAAGCCAAAGCTTGAAAGTCTTCGGTGTAAGTGACCTAAGGTTCCACGCAGTGAAACAATAAGAAAGAATGCTACTTCAATCCTATGGTTCAAGATGGTTTAAGCATGTCCAAGCTGCATTTCACATGTTTATAAGTCACAAACAGCCCACCTCGAAAAACAGCATCCGGTCGTCAGCCGGGTCAGCCAGGAGGTAACGCGTGATCGCCGGGATTGTGGTCTCGTCGCCCAGAAGCAATGAACCATCGTTCAGAAAGCCACCATCCACGCACAAACGGCGCATGCCTCCCAAATGGCTGCACGCCAAGCAAGTCCATCCTTCTAAACCCTCCTAAACCCTTCTAAACCCTTCTAGACCATGCAATGTCAATCAACATGTCAATATGATGCAATCAATTCTACAGTAGCACCCTTAAGGTCTGAAATTCAAAGTCAATAATTAATTATGTACCAAGTCATTTTGACTCCGGAGGATCTCTGCTGAGGTCGTTAGCGCACATTAATCTTTTCTCTGCCTTCAACAGTCTGCCTCCATTTACTTCGACACAAAAGGTTCACCACTTCCCATACTTTAATTTGTTTGCAGCGTTTCAGCAAACCACTTCTGATGAAGCCAGGCAAGGCCTCATGTTCATTCATTCTCTAGTTTCTAAAAACACAGCCCCTTCAAATTGCTAGGAAATGCATGGAAATGCCCGCAATTTGGCACAAGAGCCTTTAATGATCATTCTACACGGGCAAACTGCTGCCGTGCCATGCCGTGCCTATGAGTTCCACGCCCTGAAAGTCTTCCCGGATGTGCGAGGCCCATCGCAGTCGATCTGTTGGCACATCCAGCTGCCTTGGCTTCACCAAACATGTCATCCACGGCATGCCATCATCCTGCAGCATTCTATGCAGCATTCTGTGCAGGAAGTTGCTTGGTGAGAAAACTCATGGTCTTCTCGCAGCGGGCTTTGGCCAAGGGCTCCTTTGGGCACGGTAATCAAGTGGCTCTCAAGTGACTTCGCATGAAATCAACGTTCTCAGACTCGGCAAAATGGAGACCACCGACAAAAACACCTCCTCTCTGTCCTGTTGGCGACATGGCACTTCTCCTCTTTGAGAGCAGCCACGGACTTCCAACAAACAGGTACCTGCAGCTACAGAGGGATTAACATCCCAATTTGCACCAGCAAAGCCGATGGTGTTAATGTTCCACTGGAGGCCTTGAGGATTCCCGCGAAGCCATCTCGCCGCAGATGACAGAGCATTTTGCCTCGTGGAAACCAACAAATTCAGCAGGCCATGCTGGGACTACGTTGAGCACAGCGTTAGGCCTGTCAGATGCAAGTTCTTCTGCTTCTTGTCCTGCATGTTGGGTCTCCAAAAAACATCTGCTGCAGTTCTGTCTCAAGAAGCAAAAACGTCATTTCAAGAAGCAACACATCCTTTGCATATATTCCATGTCAAACTTTTCATCTGGCGTTTTTGTGCATTGTTGGACACAGGACTTTGTTCCCCCTCTCCTTTGTAGGCGCGTCCCACAGATGCTGAGCCACGAGCAAACCAAATGTGGTCTGCAAAAGTGGAGGTCACAGATGGAATACCGTGGGCTCCTAGTCCTAGTCCGGGTCCTGGCGTGAACACACACACACACACACTGTGGGATATGTAGATTCGATCGTAGTGAGGAGAAGTAAAAGAACACCACCAGTTCCTGGATAAAGGGCCTGAAACGGATCATAGGACATGAGGCATGAATTATGAAATATGAAAATGGATTCCGGTTCTCAGCTTAGTCGGCTGTTATATCGAAGTTACTTAGTTTCCGGTTCTCAGCTTAGCCGGTCGCTATCCTCTGATGCAGGTACGCTGGGTTGATCAGACCCAGTATCCCATGATTGTGGTAGCTTCGTTGAGTGCGGTCCCACAATCACGCCGCACTCCCCTGCCAAATCAATATTTAGACTGCATGTTATTAGCAGTGTACACACACACATGGCCTCTCAATATGAGAGGCGAATCAGTAAGAAGCACAGTAAAACTCTTTTTATCGCCACCACTGCATCAAAGATAATACGGGTTGGTCCTTCCAAAGACTGCGAAGAAAACGATGGATTAAACATATATTCGCATCAGTGAAAAACTCAGGAATTCGTTGATACATAAGGCCCAGAAAATCCTGAACCTGGCCCAACTGAATTTTGGCTGGAAAAACATGAAAACGAATGAGGCGCAGACGAGCACAAAGTCCACTCAGGATAGCACGAGAAGTACTAGCACTTCGCATAGATCGTAAAGGTTTGTTTCAAGGTGAAACCTAATGCCTCCTGTCCAGCAACCACTTCCAACAAAATGGGAGCAGAATAAAATTGTAAATTCCAGAAAACCGGAATATGTGATAGCTTTCGACTATGGCGAGAAATCAACAAAACACGATTGTCAACATATCGATGATGTAGAGAACGATCCCAAGTAAATGGAGAAAATGACATTGCGAAGTTCCATTCTCGTTGAAGTGCAACTGCAGAGCATAGAACGGGTGCAAACTGGGATCCCATACTGGCACCCCGACGTTGTCGAAATACTTGGCTCCCGACCGTGAAATACGAATGATCCAACAAATATTGCCCCAAGCTAGGAATATCATGCAAAGTAATAGTCATATATTGTTTCGTCTTTTCTTTCCAAGATCCTTGAAAAACACGAAGAATCCGTTCCAAATCGTTCCAAACGAACAACATGTGATTGCATAACAGTATCTAATCCTTGTTCACACTGAGAAGCAAAGGTGAATACAGCGAACTGTATGGCCAACAAAATACGATCATGTTCAACTTGATTGTAAAAACCATCGATATCTGTTTGACGCAAGGAAAAGGCAGTTTCTGCAAAATCCTCCATAGAAAAAAATGCACTGATACCAGTAATAACATCTTGAACATGTGGAAATTCCAAAATAGATCCAAAAACCGCATTGAGGATGCAACCCGAATGTATCAAGTGATCTACGGAACGACACTGAAACAGCCGTCCGAGAAAACTCTTTAAATCTTGGGACTTCTTGGTTGTAAACAGATCAGGAAGTCAAGACTGCGTCAAGCCTAACAAATCTTGATTGTCCACGTATCGATGATGCAACGAACGATGCCAAGTGAAGGGTGAAAAAGAGAGATGATAGTTCCATTCACGTTGTAAAGCCACGGCTGAACAAAGTACAGGTTCAAACTGAGATCCCATACTGGCTCCCCGACATTGTCGAAATACTTGGCTCCCGAACGTAAAATAGGAATTATCCAGCAAGTATTGAACAATAGCAGGAATGTGTCTCAATGTAACAGAAAAGTATTGTTTTGAGATAACGTTCCAACTTGTGAATGTGAGCCTGCAGGACAGTATCTAAACCTTGTTCGGTTTTCTGTGCATACGTGTACACGACAAACACAATGACATCAAAATTCCGGAAAGTTGTACTTGATTATAAAAACCAGCAATGTCTGCTTGATGCAAGCAATGCGCAGACTCCGCGAAGGACTCCATAGTAAACAATCGACGAATTCCTTCAATAACAGCTCGTACATCCGGAAATTCCAAAATGGACCGAAAGACAGTGTTCAAAATTTCGATCAGAAGAGTAGAAATCGCACTGCTCAATTTCCTAGCCCATGCTGTTGAATAATGCACAATTGGTCGAGCTTTTACAAAATCACGGGTAGGTTTAGGCAAAATATATCATTTGCTCAATGTCGAATTGCGAAAACCTGATCCCCAGGAATAAGTTTGTTGAAGAGCGGGGATGACTGGAGGTTCCACACGTGTTGAAGGCGAAGGTGTAGCCTTGTCCCGAGCCAAAGTTGCCGCTGCTGCCTTGGTAGAATCGTCCTGAGTGGTTCCTGAGTAAGAGGCAGCACAGACATCTTTTTTATCATAGCATGAATTGTTACATCTGGCAAGAATCTACGAAATGAAAGTAGCCACTCCATGAATGGTCGAAAGGTGAGATCGAAATGCCCAACGAGAATCTGATCCATGCACAACATCAAAGAAATAGCCCAACAATTGATCTGCATAAACTCCACCCTGTGGGGTCCGAATGTGTGCTTGACGTGCAAAAGCACGACCAACAATACAAATAGGCCGAGCAGTATTGAGGCCGCCAGATTTCTTGGCTTGTTCCAAATTTTTTCAGCACATGTTTCCTAGAAAAGGAAGAATCATCATTGAACAGTACTCCCCGAGAGTAGAAGGTATTGCGAGTCAGCCAGTCTGGGCTCCGTACATCGCATGATGATGGTCGAACGACCCCTTCTCGCACAGCTGAGGCCATTCCCAATACTGGTGTGTTATGGCCAAATCCAAAGTACTGAAAAATATCAAAATTGTCCGCAGGCCACTGCGGGAGTGCCAAGTGCGCATAGATCGCAATAGGCTGTTGCTGGGAGTTGAACATGATCTCAAATTTCTCAACCAATGAAACATTGTTGCTGTAACGTCCCAAAGCAGTAACCAAAAAGCGGAGAGATGTCAAAACAGAATCACGCAAAACAGGGTTACGTAGTTGTGCAGAAAATCGATGCTTCAGGTCAGTCGAAATGTAATCATGCCAAAATTGAATGTGATTCACTGCATCTTCATGAGTAATGTAACCACGGGAGGAGTTAAAATGGTCAGCATTAGATATCCATTGTTGACATCTCGTATCTTCGATCAGCATTCCATCTTCAAAGGCATTCTTCACGCGAAATGGATTATCAGCAATTGATTTGTGAATACGAAGCATCTGTTGATAAAGAAAAAGAATGTCGATCGTCTTGAACAAATCGTTTGCACCCACTAATAATTCAGATGAAAATGTCGCCACGGGAAGAGCGACCCAAAATTGAAATCCTTGTGTCTTCAATTGAGGGTGGACCATTTCTTTGACTTCATGACTGGTCTGAAAAGGATCATCAGTCTGAGTCCGTCCAATGGTAAAACAGACAGTCTCATTGCGGACTGGTGGTACCACTCGCTCACTAACTGAAGACCAAATTCGTTCAGGAGTATTACTTGTTCCAGATTGCTTCACATGATGGTAAAGACCATAGCGCGGAATCTGAACTGAGCTTGTAGCACTTTGTAGCTCATGAAGAGGATCTGGTTGGAGATCAAGACGGCGACGTTTGGGTTCCGGACCACTTGGAGTAAGCACGGAAGGTCCCGGACCAGCTGGTAGAACAGCAGACTGCACCAAAGGTCCCGGGCTACTTCCAGGTAGTCCATGAGAAGGATCACACAAGGTCCCCGACGATCCCAATGTTGATTGGACAAATGTGAGCGGCTGAGTAAACAAATTTCCCACACCAGGTACTAAAGAAGACATGGAAGACATGAATGCATTGCATTGAAAAGCCAATGGTAACATCATTTGTTGCATAGAATGCAACTGTTGAGTCTGAATTTGTTGCATCTCAATGATCTGTCTTTGCATCGTTGCCATTCGTTCCAATGAACGAGCATGCTCTTATTGGGTACGCAACATTGAAGACATAGAAGATTCAGTCATACGTAAATTGTTCAACTGCTGCGAAACACTGTTGGGGATCACTCCCGGAGGAACCGGCAAATTCGGGGGAGGTCCCGATGATTTCGCAAAAGTTCGAAAATCCATGGCTCGAAACTACGGCTCTAAGGTTAAATGAAGAATTAGATCATACCATAAGAGCACACAAAACTGAGGATATGACCACATGTACTGGAAGAAGTGCGCATTCAAAGTACTTCGTCATACGACAACTTCTCCCTTGTGGGTACTTCGCCAATTAGGCAAAACTTCGCCTTATGGCTGTCAATATGTGTTGGACGAACTTCAATGTCCACCTTGACATTGTCTACTTCTTTTGCATGTAATATGCAAAGGGAACTTCAGGATGTTGGCAACATCCCACTCTGCAGCCGGGAAAATGCCCGGTCATAACTTTCATATCCGTCGAAACGGACAGACGGTACTACCAAGTGAGGTAAAGTACCCGAAACACACTGTGGGATATGTAGATTCGATCGTAGTGAGGAGAAGTAAAAGAACACCACCAGTTCCTGGATAAAGGGCCTGAAACGGATCATAGGACATGAGGCATGAATTATGAAATATGAAAATGGATTCCGGTTCTCAGCTTAGTCGGCTGTTATATCGAAGTTACTTAGTTTCCGGTTCTCAGCTTAGCCGGTCGCTATCCTCTGATGCAGGTACGCTGGGTTGATCAGACCCAGTATCCCATGATTGTGGTAACTTCGTTGAGTGCGGTCCCACAATCATGCCGCACTCCCCTGCCAAATCAATATTTAGACTGCATGTTATTAGCAGTGTACACACACACACACTTCTATCACTTCCAACTCTCTGTCGATGGCCCTGGTCGATTCTATAAGGTAAATCACTTCTTAATTTCGTCGTTTCAGAAGCATTGCGCTTGCCAACCCAGCAGTCCACTCCCTGCAGCATGATCAGCATGGAATCCTGATTTGTCCTTCTCCCTTTCCCTGTATGTAGCTTTGTTCCAGCCTGAGCAAATCAAAGAGGCTCATGATTTTGCAGTGCCGGCATCAAGCAGCCCCCCAAACCAGTTGCTGACTTCGAATCAAGTCGCTACATTCCAGATCGGATGTGCAGGCAGATCTGGGCCTGCCAATCAGTGAATGAATGCGTCTGGAGATCGATTTTCAGCTGACAGGATGCCTTCGCGAATGTCTTCGCAGGATGGATGCTGCAAGACCTTGTCAACGATCCACATGACATGAATGACAAAGATTGAGGAGAAATGCAAAAGAAAAAAACTGTGCATCACATAGGGCCAGAAATTCGTCTTGCACCAAGACATGTTGTCATCTTTGGGACCTGATATCGTCTGCTACGAGTATGACTTGTGACTTGTAATTGTATGACTCTGTATGACATATGATTTCTTCGGGTGCAGTGGTTAGATATCAAGTCGCAAGAAATGCCATGCTTGCCCTGCCTGACGGAAAACGTTGGCAGCTTCTGGGCCTTGGGATACATCCACTAGCAAGGCTCCAAAGTCCAAACATTGGTGGCCCCCAGAAATCACCTCTGATCCAAAATGTCCATACTTAGGGACACATCTTGGACATGGCCCCAAGTTGATCACACACTGTGTACATCAGCGTGATACCCTCACCTTCATGAGATCATTTCCAGTGGCCTGAGGTCCAAACCTACGATAAACAGCTTCAAAGGCGCTGCGCTTCTCCGGGTCTCGAAGGATGTCATAGGCTTGCCGCAGGTCCTCAGTTGAAAGAAATCGCCACACTGGGGAGGGGGGGCATTTGGATCCTGTCAAACATTTCAAACCCTCAGCTGTCCTTGAAGAGCTGCTCTGCCGCCTGTCTCTCCTACCGACACAGCGGCCATGGGGAATCCGTTTCTTGCTTGAAATCAAGGCGAAGGAAAACATCGAAATTTTGCGTGAAATTCTTCCACTGAATGAGGGAGTCTAGGAGTCAGGGAGTCTAGGAGTCTAGGAGTCTAGGATATGCTGGATATGTATTGCAAAAGTGACCCTGTAAAACCTGTATCTGCAGTCACCATCCATCATCATCCTCGGGTGGACGCTTGTCTGGATGGCATTGCAGTGCAAGCGCTCGATAGGCTTTCTTGACATCCTCCTCTGCAGCACCAACCTGCCGCAGAAACTTCATGGGCTCCACATGGCTCCACTCCACAATCCTCTGTCCGATCTGTCCAATATCTGTCCAATGTCTATCTGACATTATCTGACAGTGTTCAGTGTGAGTCATGGGACCGCCTGAATTCCCAAGACCTGAAATGGGTTTGGAGCCATAGCCTGGAAAGCGGCTGAAGAAAGCGAGTGGATTAGCTTCTCTTTAGAGAAAAACTCCTGCAACTATAACAAAATAATACAAAATAGCAAAAAAAACTGCACTTCTTAACCTTCAGATCCTTTTCTTCTGATTGCATTCTCACTTTCAATACTGTCTTGCTCTGCAGCGCTGTATTCAGTTTGAATATGAGTGAATTTGTATATAAGTGTTGGCTTCAATATGCAAGTGATTGACTTCTCGGCAAGACACTAGTCAAGCTGACTACTTCTAACTGGTCTAGCAATGACAAAGGAGTCGCAGTTCATGAAAAGTGTTCAGTGTAGCTTGGGTAAGTTCAAACCTGAGTGATAGCTTTTTTTGCGAGTGAAACTTGCGCGCTAAATATTTGCTAGAGCTGTTTGTCATCAATCAAGTATCCAGAGCTTCCATTCTACATTTGAGCTGAAAACGAGTGTTCTTCGTGGATGTCGCAATCTCGGCCTTGTCTCTCATCTGCACATGTCCAGCATGCACAAGACACTTGCAACTGAAGACAATTGAAAACTTCGAGTGAAAATGGCTTGCTTGGCTTGAATCTTCAGTATGCTGGAATCTCCGATGAAACTGCTTTGCGCAAGTGCAGTCTGCTTGAGGTTTGTGAAACAAGTTGCGGTCTTCGCAACACTAGAGCCCAACCACGGAAGGAAGTTACGTGCTTGGACTTCATTAAGAATAGCGAATGTGCAAATCCATGTCATGGTTTGAAGCTCGCTGTCATTAGCTGTCATGCTTTTGAGCCTCTTCTTGGTTGATTCTGCCTTGGAGCGCTGCAGCTTACACGTAGCTGCAGTTGTCAAGTTTACCACTACCAACCTGCTGGACCAGTGGATGCATATGCACTCGCAGAAACCTTCGCCCTGATTCCATCATCAACAATGTAACAATGTCTCAACTGAAGCAAATAGGATCCAAAATACTAAACAGAGTGGCAACACTTGGGATATGCCCCGAGGCATGACCGCTACACAACTTACTTCGTGTGTTAATGATTTTTCTCCAGCTGGGCCCCGGCGACCCGGATTTTCCGCTGTTTGCACCCAGTTGCTGCTGCTGGAAATGGAAGTGCCCGTCTGAATGGAGTGACAGGTGTCGAGCACTCCTTGCAGAATTTTATAAAATTATTTTCGTGTCCCACAAAGCTGTTGTGTCGAATCTTGAGCATGATGGCATTAGTTTAGTGCCAACATGTGCCAACTGTTTGCACTATTTCTTTGACCAACGCTCACCCAAAAGGCGTCCTTCTATCTTGTTCCTCTCTGTTGAGGGGAGGCAATGGGCCATGGGTACATCACGTCTCAGTCCTGTGGTTTTTGAACAATTTCTTGAACGATGCCATTGCGAGGTGCTTCCACCTGCATTCACAGCTCAGATGCGATCTGCGTGTGCAGAAGAGTCTTGAAGTGAACAGAGTGCGAACGATGATCACAGATTCTTCACATTTCTCATCATTTCTCCACCATGTGATCACGCTGCATCTTGGTTTTCCGGCACAAACGACCACTGGTTCCGGTTCTGGTTCTGTCCAGGTGGCTTCTGCCTACACATGCACAACACAAGAACTCTTCGAAGTCAACGGTAAATTAAAGAGTCAAAAAGGCATTCAAAGAATAAAAAGCGTGCAGTATGTGCAAATGGTGATTTGAGCTTGTTTGAAAGCAGCTAAAAGCACGTGGAAATACGTGGAAGGAGGACGTGCAACAAGAAAAGTCAGATTTCCACAGTGGACTGTTTTCGCCATCCACAACACTTGCTGCCTTGCTTTTCCTATAGCCAGAAGACTTGGCCTTGGAACATGATATAAAATTCTTGCTCGACCAACCGCAATCTTGCAGCAAATCAGCCAGATTCAGAATCAACATGAAGTCTTGAAGTGTTTTTTGTGCTAGTTTATCCAAAGCCTCTCACGTTCGCATATCAATCCAAGATCAAACACGAAGTGTTGCAAAGAGGGATGGTCTTAGGCTCCAGTCCACTGCATTCAGCGCTTGGATGAGCAAGTCAGAGAAGGGAAGAGCCTGGCATCTGCGCAGAAGAAACAGAGGAAACCTATAGAAAGATATAGAAAGCTGTCTATTCAGCTTGTCCCGTTGTCTATTCAGATGTCACACAATTTCAAGCCTGGGACATCTGATGGCATTCACGCTGAGCATCCTGCAAACAAGAATCACGGAATGGTGAGGGATAGCACGGGATGGCGGATGCTTCTGCTTTTTTCTTTTAACATCTGTTAACGTCCTCTGCAGGTGGAGCTGCGGTGCCTGATGAAAGCCCAAACACCCGTGCCAATTGGAACGACATCTGTCTACTGCACGTGATGATCATATTCCAATTGTATCATGATCAATCATAAACATATTGATTCATGGATACATGAGAAAGCTGCCAATCTGATGCGTTTTACACAGTTATGCTGCATGCTCCCTCAGCCAACATGTTTTTCTGTTGTGTGCCTCCATCGATCTGCATTGGCCTAATCCAGCGACAATTGCTTTCAGTCATGAATAACCATCACACGCACCAGAGCTGTGAGCCGCCTGTTTCTTGCATCGCTCTGGTCATGCTGCTCAAAGAGATATCCTGATTTTTGAGCATGATTTTGGCTCATGCTGGAATCACAGGGAGTACTGTAGAATCTGTAAATCGGCTCTGGCAGCAGCATTGCAGTATGAACAGGAATCTTGAAAGCCAAAAGTAGCCCATCCAGCCTTTGCATGGAAGGCCATGCTGTGCTTTGGATACCTTGCTGGGGCGGCAGATGGTGGCATGTTGGGTGCATCAAATGTCAGAGAGAATCGCCTCTTGCGGAAGAGAATGGAGGGAGAAACCCATGGCGTCTGAAGCGAGTGACCTCAGACATCCGAAGGATGATCCGAAGGATGATCCGAAGCACGATGAAAATCGATGAAACACCTGAAATAACTTGAACTGAGGAAGACACCCGTGCACTCTGCCCAAATGCTCCCAGGATTTTGGATGTTTTGTTGCTGTCGTGTCGTCGCTCAAAGTTAGGTCATTCCATCCGCTTTTCGCTAGTGATCAGTCATCTAGATTGGATATCTGGATCTATGCCTCATGATTAAGGCAAAAAGATGCAAAAAGCATCAGAAAGTAACGTTGCGGACACCATAGACTTGCAATACTAGGCCACATGGAGGTCACTCCTGCTTCGAAACACAGGAAACTGTCTTCATGTCCGAACTTGCTCGTCTTGCTTGGCAAAAATAAACGATGAGCTATGGTGGACTGAACATTAACAAATCAATCAAACCCCTCTCCCGCTATGCCCCGCTTGAGAGTTGGATAGCAGCGAAACAACGACTCACTGAAAAAAAGGTATGAGCACAACAAGCTACGCAGCATATGATGTGCAGTATACAATGCAGAATAAAAGCAGGACCCGGACCCATCTCCTTTTATCTCTCTCTGAGGTCTGTTATTTCAAGCTGTTGGACCATCAGGTCAAGCGAACTTTGCACTTGGAGCTGGAAAGAAACCCCCCCTGAGCCTCTAATCAGTGGACAGAGGTAAAACTCAGACTGGCGAACCAGAAAGCTGGCTGACCACACATTCACATCTCTCATCACTGGCATTTCACATCCCGCTGCGAGCGAAGCACGGAAGTTCATAGTGTGATTTTCCTTCATTGTAGCATCAGAAAGAGCAACGTTTTTGTCAACGTCCAGATCTTGCTCCAGATTGCCAAGTGCTGCCATGCCGATAAATGCCACTTGCCACACATCCGGCGCGCAGGGCGCACAGGCTGGAGCCGCTGGAGCCTTGTCAGCCATGGCCATGTCAGCAGCCCTTTGCAAGTCACTCTTGGGGATTCCACACCACAGGATTTGGGACAGGAACTGCCCAAAGCTCACAGAGTGACCTGTCAGGTGACATCTTGCCAGAAGGGCCTTTCGGAAAGTGTCTTTCCCAAGCTGCGGCACATGCACAAACAAAGAAGCACACAGGGAGTCCAGTTCTTGCAACGAGAGATTGTCATGGTGTGAACGAAAAGACTCGAAGCAGCGGTACAAAGAAGCGTATAGATGGTCTCGTCTCCACCAACAAAGGGTTTCTTCCGGGCGTTGAGTCAAAACTACCGTCAAAGGTGTGACTTCAGCTTCTGAGGCTACTCTGAAAATTGATATATTTTTGTCCAGTTCCAGCTGAAGCGGTGACCCTTTGCCTGAAACACTGCAATATTCTGGATGTTTTATTGTCTTTTGAATCCGCACGACTGTGCTCTTGAAAATTCCATCAAATTCGAGATTTGTTCTGTCTCGTGCACTCAGCTGTTCGACCAAAATGGCATCAGTTGGTCCTGATGCAGCGAAATGCACCATGAGTTGCCCCATTCCAAGATCGCCAGGAAAAAAGTAGCAGGGAACAACTCGATATTCAGTGTCTGCAGGCAGGGCTTCAATCTGCAACACAACGGCCACATTGCGTTTGCTGGAAAAGGCTGTCTGTGCCACAATTTTCCTCCGATTTCTTGTGCAGCACCTTGAGTCTGTTTCAACTTCAGTGATCACTTTGTCAATGCAAAGCACTGTAACCCCGATTTGTGGGTAAGCGACCTGACAATCAAATTCGTTGGCAAAATGCCTTATATCAGCCTGGGAAAGGATGATTGCAAGCGATTGAGGATATTGCCGGTCTTTCACAGCAACTCGGAACATGGAGTTCTTGTGAAACGTCGGGAAGTTTGAGCAACCCCCAGAGTTTGCGCCTGTGACTTCAAGCTTGTGACTGGAAGTTGATGCATGCGATTGACTGTGGAAGATCCCAGCATGACAAACAGACAAACGGTTAAAAACCTTCAGCAAGTCACTTCCCCCCATCCAAAAGGTCCGTTCTTGTCCCGCGTCTTCAGAGGGATGTGTCTGCGCGAGATCCAGCACCTCCACGTTTACTGTCTGATTTCCAACGGATTGAGTTGACACATCTGCAACAACATAGACGTGATTGGACCGCACACGCTGATGCTGATGCTGATGCTGGAGAGCGGCACCACTTGAGATCCATGCAACTGCCAGCAGGTCACCCTTTTCCCAATGTTGGACTATCTTCGCAGCGAAATCTTGTGGTGCACGTGACAGGTTTACTTCCTCGACTGCAAGTCCTGTCAAATCCCAGAGTGCCTCATCAATGTGTCCCCCAATAAGAGCTGCATAGGAACCGTAGGCCTTCGCACAAGCCTTCTCTAAAAAACATGCATAGAGCTCATCACCAATGTGGTGTGCAAAAGCCGGACGCCCTTGACAGCAAGGTAGGAAAGTGTCAAGTGTAACTTCTTCCCATTTGCCGTTTAAGAACAATCGTACTGTACACCACCCTTCTTCTGGCTTGTATGCAACAAAAAGCTGGCTCAACAAAGAAGGTCGCATGGCAAGAAGTGCAATAGCCGCTACGAGATAGCAGTCAGACAAAAGACCCTGTCTGATACTGCATACTCCGCGCGGTTTCGGTTCAGATAAAGATCCATCAAAAAGCTTTGTTGAGGAGAAAGAGGATATCTCCTCTGGGCGTAACCATTCCAACTGCTCGAAGCATCGACGCACACCTTTCCCCCAAAGCGACACATTGCTGGGTGGAAAGCTCTCATCAACGAACATGATGCGAAGGTGTCGATACAGGAAGTTTCTCTTTGAATCAGAGTATCGCCAGGAGAAGCAACAATTCAGACAGGTCTTCTAGCTGTTTCTGCCAGGCGTAGGTTTTCCTGTTTTCCACGAGTGCACATTCTTTACCTCCACCTGTTCTGCATCCCTCACCACACTTGCACAGTATTTTATTTCTGCCCTTTTTTGCTTCTCAAAGTCTGCGCAATTGCGAGACGTGTTTTCTATGTATACAATGTATTTCAATCTAAGGCGTTCTAGAGTCTCAAAGTAATGCTAATTGAAACCTATCCAGCTCTTCGCTCACTGCGTCTTGCACTCACCCTCAGGCCAGAGTGATAACATCTCACATCCAGCCCTGATCTTTGAGTCTGCTTTCCCTTCTACCTCCTTATTGGGCAAAACGACCTGAAAACCAAGGCTGAAAACTGTCCTCAGGTTACTGTGTCAAGAATCTGTTCAGTGCGATTCATTCCTGCCCCTTCCTTCTTCGTTTGTGGCCAATGTCTTCTGAATAATCTCAAAGTAATACAGTGAGCACAAGCTGGCGAATAGTTCAGCTTATGGAGTTGTTTTTCCTGATCAATCACAAATATTGAAAATTTATATTGTACTGCCCCAAAATCTCAGTCCCAATTATCCCTGCGACTCAGAAAATCGAAATATTGGAAATGAGTTCACTGGGAGTACTGCCCTCTTGTGGCTCAGGGCGGTACATCTGCTGCCTTAGGAGCTTCTTGTGGCCTTGGGAATCCAATGGAATTCAGCAAAGTGGAAATCTTGTGCATTTTACCCGTGAACTTTCTAATGATTCTAATGCCCAATGGCCCAATTCAAGTACTATTTATGCAGTGACTGTCTTGTAGTTGGAATATGTTGGAATAGGTAGCGGCTGGATGACAGTCGGATCCTACTGTCGAACTTCAAGAGAATTTGCAAGCTCTTGGGGCTGTAAGTGAGATATCAAAGAACACACGAACAACATTTCATTTTGGAGCATCGCATGCTGGACAATGGCCACTGCTTCCCCTACATCCGTTCAAAAAGGTCAGCTTTTGAGGTCAGGACTGAGAGGAATCTCCATGGTCAGAATCAGAATCTGAACATGTTTGACCTCATCAATTGAGGTGTACAATGGTGTACCACCCACAACCAAAGTACACAGAGAGACTGAGATCGAAGCTTTTCTTGACAGGCTGATCAAAGGATGATATTCCGAATAAACTTGGGACGGAGACCTGTCACAATGGACAAAGCATGGTGTCAAAAGATTGCCTATACATAGTCTACAATAATCTTCCCTCCAGTACTCAAACATGACAATTGAACATCCCCCATTTACAGATGATTTTCCCGGGTTTCCCTTCGTTGAGTTCGGGGAGAAATTCCAGCACCAGGCAGTTTTTATGCTGAGTCCGCAGCTCCAGAGCCAGTGGCATCGTGACTTGGGGCAGGTTCTGGATCTGGCCCAGGCCTTGGATTTGACACCAGAGACACCAGAGACCTCCGTGGAATTCCGTGGATCAATGCTCTAAGAGGTGGACATGAAAGGATACAATATTATAATATGATAGAATATCAATGAATATCATACAATACAGTTTCATGGCCAAAATATCCCATATCCCAAAATATCCAAGATGATACAAGAGATATCCCAGATCTCGGGATATTTGGGGTCATAGACTCTTGGCACGAGTGGCAAGATTCTGTGAGTCTAACGTCTGTTTGGGGCTGCTGCTCATCAGGCTTCACATCTGTCTCATACCTGCCAAGCAAAGGTTGGCAAAGTGCGTTCATTGCACATTCATTCTTTGAAAAAGACATTTACGCTTCAAAAAAAACACGATCCAGTGCCAAACAAGCCGGCAGCTCTCTTCCCATGCCTGAGGATCCGTATAGAACTTGCTGGGGTCCAGGTCGTAGGTCTTGCAGGGCCGGCCACGCTATCTGTTGAAACATCCAGCAGGTCGGCAATTTGCTGGCCTTGCAAACCTTGGCGTACAGAATAGCTTCTCTGCCGCTGTACTTTTCAAGCAGTGCCTTGAAAGGACAGGACCAACACGAATGCAAACTTGTCTTAGAGTTATTGAAAACATCATCCATCATCAACCTCACTACATGTGACTAACCTCTGGACTGTCTGTTGCTAGAGGAAGCTATGCCTGCACGTTGCTCAGCTTGTGAGGATTTCGACGTGCATAGACAGCTTCGATCTGTGCAGCAAGTCCAACCACCAAAAACTTTGAACCAAACAAGGATGAATTGCCAAGCGCCAAGCAACTCAAAACGTCACGCTTGATCTAGTAGTGAATCTCTTGTCAAGCTATCGCCTACATCTCTTCTTGACATACCAGTACTGGTACATGTGCCATCATTTGTCAGTGTGTCAACATTATGGATATCCAATGCAATGATGTCATTTATGATATCCAGGTGTATATGAAGTGTAGCTGCGTATGGAGGAATCAACCTTGCCAATGGGCCAGGGACGTTATTCTGATAAAGCCATGCAGTACAGTTCCCCACCCTCAATTTTAGCATCAGGAATAACGATGAATAACGCAGAATCCAGCACAAATTCGCAGCTTGGAACATGCGCAAAGGTGTTTTCAACTTGGGATTCCATTGAACGCACCGGCCTGGCAGCGCCAGAAATCATCCGGCTTTGCGACCTCGGCCCCAAACTGGTCTACTGTACCAAATTTTGTCTGCAAGACTCTGCAAGTATACAGATCAGAAAGTAGCCAGCAGTTCAACAGCACTCTGAGGCCAGTACTTTGGCAGGTTCATCCTTTTCCTTGTCATCTACTGTGTCATTTGACACATCCTGTTCAAGTCAAACTCACAATGAGCTAAGATAAAGCTGTTAAATGCCAAATATGCTGTTCGGACATGTTCGGGCCACTTGTCAATTTGCATCAATATCGCTTGTATCACAAGTAGATTGACAATCACCCTATCCAACATTAGTGTGAAACAACTTCTGAAACCGAAATGTGGCTCTCCTCAGAAAACAAACAAGGAGAACATGATACATGATACAATATGATATGGTCTGATGCACGCCCAATCCACACCCACAATGCCTGATCCTTGTCCAGTTCCTCTGCTGTCCGCTTCATTGCGTGCAAAGGGCAAGCAGTGCATTACAGTATTTCAAGTTGGTCCCTTGTCAGGTTGCCGTGGTTCATCTGCGCTCAAAAGTTTCATGGCAGTTTTGCTGCATCGGCATGTCCAATAAAGTTCCAGGAACCCTAGAATACCTAGAATACCTAGAATACCTAGGACCTAGAAAAACAACGCCCCATGCCTTCAGTGGCGCAGTGACTTCGAAGCGCAAGGAATGCGTGTTGATGGGAAATGTCAGAGCCAGTACATCGAATCTCAATCGCGTCCTCGTCATCTTTCAGCTTGATGTGAAAAGGCTGCCAAGAAGATGGCTCACAAGTGCAAAGTGTGTTCTCTACATTTCTCTACGGCCCTTCGTGCGCTTGCTGCAAAAACCCTTGCCTTGCGTTGCCGTGCTCCAAATCACTCATCATTGACTCCAGACTCCAAACAGTGTTGGACAGGAACCCAAATTCCGCAGGTAAAGTTCTCTTGACCTGGGTTCACAAAGTTACACTGCCTTCCTACTCTATTCTATTTCAAAACAGACAAATAGACCATCCTATGTTGTCTCAAGGGCACTATCCATCCTGCTTCCGTCCCATCTTTTCCTCACCACAGTCTGGATCCACCGGTCGCCACCACGCAGGTTGCTGACTGTCCTCGTTGCCCAGACGTGTTGTGTGTTTCACAGAAGCTGGTGACAAGAGAATGGCTGCAAAGGCTGCCATTCCGGGCGTCTGGCACGATATGAGACGCCCCAAGTTCTTTGTGGCAACACCTGTGCCAGAAGTGGCTAGAGACAGGACGCGAACTGAAACACAAGGAATCTATGTCATTAATATTATATGAATTATATGATATAATTTATCAATATTTATCATATATTATCATACTGTAACTATCATAGCAGTTATAACCGGCCTTTTCCTTACGCATGGCAGCTTCTAGCCGCAAGAGCACGTGTGCATCTGTAGCGGCATAGAGGACCTGGAACCAGAGATTTGGCAATTGTAAAAGCAACAGCAGCCATGGGGTCCACCACTTAGGCGGACCTGCAGAGTGCTCAATGGGCGAAAGTTCCAATTGCTGACCTGCGCTTTCGCAGGAGCAAAGGCGGATTCGAAGGAGCACAATCACATCCGACCATCGACAACGGGCTGTTTTGAAGAGTTTGATCACTGGAGCAAAGTAAGGACAGTGCTCGGTATTGTTTGTTCAACGTCTCTCCCAAGTATGTGTCGACCTTACATTGTGCAAGCGCAGGCCCTTCATATGAAAGCTGTGGTCGCTAGACTACAGTCGTTGACTTCTTTGCACCGGCACTGATTGGGTGGGCTCTCGCCCCGTGTGCTTTGTCCTTCTACATTTTGTGCTCCGCCTGCCCTTACTGATTGGTTTTTTTAGCAAGACTGCTGAGTGAGATACCAATCGGGACAAGGATTGATGGCCACCAACAGTGAAAGCTTGCTCAGAATACTCCTTGCAATGTTGACGCTGTCCTGACCCCTAAAGTTCAAACGTAGACTGAACACAAGGCGAATGGACATAGTTCAAATCTTCGAATATTGGGAGACTTGTGAAAATCTTTGAGTTTCAAGGCCCAAGATGGCTCAAGTTCAATCTGTGATCTCCTCCATCGGATATGGTGGCAAAGGCTCTTCTCCAACACGTGCAATCTCTTCCAGGTCTTCAGCCTTCACACTGCAAACTCAACGGATGGCGGCCTTGCAGGCCTTGCATTCCACGTTTGAATCTGGATATCGGCACCTTGAGAGCTTCGCCCATGAGCATCTCACGCCCCAAAGGGGTATCCTGTAGTGAATTCATCACAAGGCCTGGTCAATCCGGGTGAGTCATTTGGATATCAAAGAACTACTGTACCTTCTGGACATTTGATGAGAAGTATACAAAAACTTAAGTCTATTCAGTCTATTCTACCTGATTCCAGTCCTCCTCACGTGGCTTCCTCACTTGTACCCTCCGCACTCGTTGAGTGTAGAGGTCAAGTACCTTCGTTGCATGGCATGATTACACATCCAAGCTGCCTCAGAACAAACAGAAGGAAGCTTGGCGAGTAGGTGTCTGAGGGCGTGCAGAAACTTTCCGTGACACCAAGCCATTTCTGTCAGCTGCAAAAACCGCTTGCTACACGGGCCACACGGCTGGTGCGCTGGCGCACGCTTGCAATGTAGTCCTGGAAGCCAAAGGTACGGCCAAGTGGTCCGAAGAGCATGTTCAGGCGAACCAAGTCCTGACAAAATCACAGCACACTTGCAGCACACTTGCAGGACAGTAGGATGTGAAAACGTCGGTTAGGGTCTTTGCAGAAAACCCTGAAGTGGAACTGCTGTCGAAAGATGTGGCGCAGGGGCGATCTCGGAAACTTGTTGTGAGCTCTGATTGCAAAGAAAGACGGGTTGCAACCCAAAACTGAAGCGATTCCCGAGGGTCATGTGGAAAACCAAAGAAGAGCTTTGTAGTTGCTTCTCGCCTTGATAGACAAACAGTTCAAACAATGACAAAGACCATGAACATCTGTCATACAGCCCTGTTATCTGGATGTGTCATCTCATGGAACTACCTTCTTTGCCTTGGCATGCGCGCATGCATGAACTGCCAAGGGCAAAGAGCATCTGTGCTGGGCATCTGGCTTCAGCAGGTAGTCCATCAAATAGTGCAGCACCTTACTCCATGTTTCTGTACCATGCACCAAGATCCTCCAAGTGCCAATGCGTTGGTTCTGTAAGACACTCACAACATTCACGGTGGCTTTCATTGCTGGTGATGCATGGTGAAGAACTGAGTCCTAGACTGACATGTACAATGGCCTCAGACAGTTTGTGATGGTAGGCAAGAGGCCAGTCTGAGCGACTCTACAAAGGGCAGGTTCATCCCATCTTTCTGCAAAGAAAACGCTGCTGGCTTGTTCTCGCTTGGGAGACTGACGTCCTGTTGACGCAATCCAGAACAAAAGCTCGACTGGGCCTCGATCGGACATGCTCTGCCGTCAAAGGAAAGGTGCACTTGGCCAGAAGAATGTCGCTTTGTTGTGCCCATCATGCTCACAGGATTTGTCTTGTCAGAAAAGCAGGTAGACAGACGTCAGAAAAGCAGGTAGACAGACAAACTGCAAACTCGACAGTCCAGTCCAGCGCCAAAACTGTTGGTGGACAATAAAAAAAAACATCATGAACACTTTCCTATGAATTCGAGTTGGTGAGGCGAAAAAAAAACATGCATGCTACAGGAGCCATGAAACTTCCAATTCTGCATGGTTTCCCAAGTGGTACAATTTCCCGATTCGAATGCTGATATGTAGCTGAAGGAGTTGTAGATCCACTGCCCTTTTCAAGTCTCCTTCTTACTGGGTTGAATATGTTGAATGATTTTTTAGGTAGTTGAGTTGAGACGCAATAGTGTGACTCTCAACCAGTTTGTTTTACCAGCTAACACCTTAGTGTCTAGGATACAGTGCCACACCTCTGAACATGCACCAGTCGCAGGCAAACTATGCTGTGTCTTTTGTGTCCAATTATTCCCTCGCAAACCCTTTGACAAGATTCAATGTTGAAGAACCCACTGAAGAAAATACTGTCAGAGCCATGCAAATGAGTTCTTAAATCGAGAAGCCGTGCTGATTTTCATCCACATTGGAGTGTACTGCATCAGTCTGTGCATATCTGTGGAGGTAACTAGCCTCATATCTCAAACATTTGTACAGTAGGTTGAGTCCAGGTGATGTCGATAGTGGAGTCAGCTGGACACCAAAGATCAACTAGGCATAACTAGGCCATCTTTAAGCCAGTTCATCCAAGGCGAAAGCGTTGCGATCTGGATGATCGAGACTGGCCTAAAGTGTCAAATCTCTGGCACCTTCGCAGAATCTGGTCGGCTCGTCAGCATTCAGAACGACTGGGATAGGGACTGCGGATCCGACCATTCAAGGTCAATGCCAATGTAGGCAGGAGCAGCCTCACACGATTTGATCATGGCGGTGCAGAAATCACAGGCATCGCCTTGTCAATGCTGAAGGCCAGAAAGTGACGGCCTGTTGAAAGAAAGTCAGCACCTTGGCATCTTCAACTTCAGCAGTGAATCTTACCAAGCGATTTGCTTTTGTCGCCATGCTGAGCTCAACACATGGGAGAGACCTTGAGCTGAATCAACAAAGTGGATTGCGTCCAGCGGCAAAGTTGCTGAAGGTGAAGGCAACGCCTGCAAGCTTCAAAAAATGCGAAGTCGACTTTCCTAGTCGACTTTCCTAGTCGATGCTATATAGCGACTCAGGATGACTCAGGGACGACGAAAAACTGAATGCTGCCATCTCTATGCCGCTCTGACCACCTAAGCATAAGCGTTTCTCATTCTGTCTCACAGGCCACTGCCTCCACTTGCTCCACCAAGTTTGAGTGGCTTGTAGCATTCTCCTAAGGCAAGATCAGACTCATTATTGAAACCAGCAAACAAGTCATCAGTTCAAAAGGATTTGAGTCCTGTCAATGGACAGTTTTTAAATTAAGTGTTGCCAAGTCTGGAACTCAGAAAATATCAGGAAAAAACACATCAGCATAGGAAATAGTCCAGCCATGTCCAGCCTTTGTTGACAAATCAGCATTCCCAGCATTCCACAGGGCCACAGCCTCAGCTGGTCGTCCAGAAATGTGACCAACGAAGGAAGTTCCTGGTCGTTTGAGGTTGAATGCCATGGCGATGTTGTCTCAACAACGAATGGGAGGATGGGTGGATGACCAGGATGAGAGTATCAATCTCATCTGCAGTATCTGCAGTCAAAGTGCATTGGATTCTGATCCAAGGGCTTCGTATGCATCGACCTCAGTTGGAAGTCATTCGACTGGATAACCCCAGTCCGTCTAACATAATGCAGAAACAAAGCTAAGGATGCATCCGTGCAATAAGTTCTCTCCTGCATAGGGACAAGAACCCTCAGGTGTCCATTCTGCATCAACTGGGCAAGTGATCACGTCTATGTTTTTTTGATTCAAAGAGAAAACCCGAATACTTGGCTTTCATGAGCTGTGTCATACAATGTAGGACCAGGGAAACTGTCAAGCGAAATCTTCCAAAATCTAACAACCATTCCTCTTTCCACCTCTGAGAATGATCTGAGAATGCCCTTGTACTTGGCAAGAAAGTCGCTAGATTAATTAGTCTCATTAATAATTACTGTAATTAATATGTTTGTATCACACCAGAGGGCAACAAACTTTTAACAAACCGGTACCCTGTTTTCTATATACATGTGTTTCTACTGTATTCATTGAAACAATATGTTTGAGCAGTTCAAAACACAGACGTCAGCACGGCAACTGTTTGAGCTCACCCCGCGATCTTCTTCCAATGCAGCATCCTTGTGGACAGCAACATATGGGATCCATGGGTTAAGGTCATCCCATCATCAATTAGGAATTCCTTCCAATGTGCATGAAAAAATCCCTATCAGTAGATTGGTGACCCTACCCTTTTATATCTTGAATGGGAATATAGTTATATGAAAACCTTAGGGTTCAATACGAAAATGGTCTCATGAGTTGAATGAATTGGGGGTATTGGGTATATCCCCACTTTAGGACACCTCCATATGTTATGTTATATGGGTTTGTCTGAAAATAGGGTATATTCCCAATTATAGCCATTTAATAGGGATAATGATCATTAACCATTGGGTTTAGGGGTACACTATTTTCAGACACACCCATATGTAGACCATGGTTTGGCAATGGCGCATGTCTTAGAAAAAAAGGGACCCATCCAGCTGAGGCGTCAACAGGATCAAACGCCAGCTGTGGCCACGAAGAGTCCCGCAGCTGGGATGGCGGCGCCAGGCCAGCAAGGGGCTGCGGTCTTCGGCGGGTCATCGAAAAGGGCATCAATTCCCCATCCTGGGTGAATCTGAAAGGGAACTCTCAATGGAATGACCGAAAATCATCATAAAGATTCATAAAGTCTTTCTAGTGCCATTAAGAACACAATATCACAATATATCACAATTATGTCACAAGAGATCTTGATGATTTATCATGCACCAAGTCCGATGCCGTCAGCCACATGCGTTGCCTCTTAGGCACCTCATCATCCTGCCATTAAATCCATGGAATCCATTTGGTTTACCAACGGGGGCAAATCGAAATGGCATGTTCTTGTGCTTCCCAGACCCGCACCTGGTCAAATGTGACCACTCACATTGTTGGAAGCTTCAGTGCTTTCAGTGCTTGCAGTGCTTGCAAGCTCGAGTAAACGATTATGCCACTGTTCTCCTCATTATCATCCTCCTCCTCCTCCTCCTCATCATCATCATCATCATCATCAGTTCAATTCAACCAGAACCAAAACGTTCCTCTTGTTCCGTTCCTATGACCCCCTCATCATTTCTCCTCATCTACTGCAGCTAACTGAGGACGGGGTGGTGCTGGAGGAGCATGCATTGGCCACACAGCAGGTAAGTTCGGCCTTGGCGATCGTCCATATCCCCTACAAGCCCCAGAAATTGTGATATGGAGCTCCTATATAACTGTGAGAACGCCTAATTATAACCCATTATAAATATAACTAACCCATTATAACTATAACCCATTATAATTATAACCTCTATAAACTATGGTTATACAATTATATAACAACATATAGTAACAATGTCTGTGTGATTCAGTGCCGCACAGCAGTGGCAGGCCAAAGTGACAGGGCCATCAGACCTCTCTTTGCTATGGACTAAGAAAATGCCTTGGACATTCTGAGGGTGTGGCAATATGGGTGCCCCTTTCCGGACGTCTGCCTGCAGCACTGCAGACTCATACGGGGAAGGTCTTGTTTGGCAGTGTCAATGCTGCGGTGCTGTGATTCATTCCAAATTCATGACGATTGGCTCTTGTGTCAGTTGTGTCAGAATCCTCAAATGGAACTGCAGTATCATAAAACAGCAAGCCTCCACGCAAAGGCTGAATGAAAAAGACCAAGGATTTCGAGACCTGATCTTCATGCGATCTGACTCTCTTGCATGTCCTGCATCTTCATGCAATGGTAAAATATGGTAAAATGCTCTTTCAATCTGTAGTTGCAAGTCAGAATGTGACACTGGCAGGGTTTTTGAAGGCTCTTGAGGACTGCGCAAGCCCGTGTCCAAGTCCCGCTCCCTGAGAGCTGACAGAGCCTCACGCGCAATGCCCAAGTATTTGTCTCCGGTTTTGAAGTCGCAAGATTTACTAAGATTACGAAGATCAATTTGGATGGTGGGTGGCAGTGCATAAACCTAGGTTCCAAGGACACCGCCTGCATGAGAAGTTCAGGTGTCAGGTGGGCCAAAAAGAATCGAAGCCCGTGTTCGCCTGGGCTGAGGTGAGCATGTCAAGCAAATGGAACCACACCAGCGATGAAAGTCTTGAAAATAGTCTCAAGAAGTGGAGCAAGGTTAACTGGCTTGAAAGCCTTATGCTAAGACAGTGTCAAGACTGTCAAACTGAGCAAGCCACTGCGTCTTCCTTCAATCAGCTTCAGGACACGCCTCAAAGACCAACCTCGAAAGACATTGTTCAGCAGCTTTGACTCCACATAATCCACATACACATCATACACCACTTGCGTGGAAAAGAGATGAAACGAGCAGTGTCTGGGTCTATGGCTGGATCCTCCCAGCGAATCCGACAAAGAATCCTGCCACTTTCAGAACTCCGAAGTGCATATGGTCGCAAGGATCTGCAAGGCACCGTTTGTGACATGCGGCAGCGCACCACTGGCAAGAATGAGAGGCCAATCCGGATGACTCCAAACATGTCACGAGACTCCTTAGCTGCAAAATTCAACAAAAGAAACAGATTGATTTAACACGATTGAAGTGTAATGGCAACAATGCTTCAGTCAGAGCAGCTATGGATGCACGTGCCAATAGATGCCAATAGTATCAGTATTGCATAGTATTGCCAATAGCCATTCAGTCAAAGGACTTCTGACAAGTGGTGGAACAAGACCTCCAAATCCTCAGGCTGAACGCTCTGGACGCCTGCACCCAGCGCTGGATTAGATGGTTCTGATATGTGCTGACATGTTCGGACACCTGGTATTGGCCCAACCCGGAGTCCAATTGTGCTTCGCCTATCCCCAGTCGAGGAATCAGTTTCACAAAAGCGGCTGGACCTCGTAGGATTGGGATTTGATGGGATTTGATGGGATTTGTTCAGAGCTGTCCTCTCGATCTGCGCTTTGACAAATATCTTCATGATTTCCGGCGCATCAACTCTTGACTTGAGAGTTAAGAACCTCGTGTATTCTCTGATCATGATCTAGACTAAAACAGGCCTCACCCCGCCCCAAACCTAGATGCAAGGAATGCTAGAGCTAGAGGCACTTATGTAAGTGCGATGTGCGCCACATAAGCTTGAACGAGGCATGCACCCACAACTTCAAGCAATTTTGTCCCGTCGATGCGGCTGAAGGATTCTTGGTGCAGGAGCACCCACTCCTGCACAAAGAGATGTCAAAGAGCCCAAAGATAGCGTGAAATGATGTGAAATGTGTGAGCTAAGTCCGATGATAGTCCGATGATATCCCCAGGGCCCAGGAGTAGAAATGACTTGTGGATACCTCGAGTGTCAACAGCTCATGATACAGGGCTCTGCCGCCTCAATGATGTCCACGACCAAGGTCCGCAACAGTTGTCTTTTTGATGTCTTCATGACCGGCGAAATAGACCTAGCAAGCATTGCTAAGCATGAGTAAATTAGCGCGTTCAAGTGATTCAAATGCGGGACTCCAATGGACATCCAAAATCATCCAACTATGTTGACATTCCAATGATTCGAAATCATGAGATCAAGGCTCTGACCTCAAAGTGGTTTCATTGAGAACACCAAAGATGCACTCTGCACCTCGCATCGAAGTGCCAGGTTTCGTACTGTCGTGGGATACTCTGAACTGTCAAGGAATGCCTTCGTGGACGTGGTGAACTTCGAAGAGATTTGAGCAGGCTGTAAAGAGGTCTTGCCGGAAGTCTTCCTGTCGTTCAATAATGTTGGAAACTCCAAACAAAAAATGATCTGCAAATTGTTGACACAATCCGTTGGTGCATAGTGAACTTGCATTCAAAGTTATTCACGCCTGTCTGCGGATGTATTCATTCCAATCGGTGCAATCCAGAGCAGCCAAGGCTCCTTTTGCTGCTGCAATAAAACGGAGGAAACAACGCATTCTGAGTAAGCTTGATTCTGAGATATTTTGAGTCTGTGGCGATAGATGATGTTTGCTGCCAAGTCATTTACGGCCTTTGCAGCGTCGGGAAAGATCAAGGAATAAGCGACGGCCACGCACAGTTTGTCAGCCTCACACTCGAACCATACCACCCGCCTTACATACACATATTTAGGTATACTCGGTACACGATAAGCAGGTATATATTTAGACTTCGTTAGATCTCTATATTTTGTCGATATCTGCACTTCGTTTGGCGGCACCAGGGATCCTACACCACGTGCACACAGGTCGATAGCAATCTCCCAGATTTTCTGGGAAGCCTTGGAAAAAAAAGCAGTGGAACTGGTGGAACAGCCCCTATTGAAGGCTGTTTGTTAACTGAACATGGAAGCCTGAAAAGTGGCTTAGAAGGTGACATGAATGGTGAAGACTGCCTTGTGAGGAGAAACCTGTCCAGCCGGACTGCTTGTATACAAATCATACCCAATATGCACAAAGCATCTACGCAGTGCCTCTGGCGCAGCATGTCGGATAACTGCTGCATTCTGTCTCAGCCTCGAGCCAACTCCAAGAACATTGACACACCACCGCAGAAGCACAGATTGAGTCTGAAATGTTTCAGGAACACGCGCTGGTGGCAGATCACTTGGAAACTCAGACTTCCAAAGAGTTCGGCGATACCTGCAAGTCCAGCGAGACACGCACAAACAATGCCAGATTTGCATAGAATGTCATAATATGTCATAATGTCATAATGTCATAACGCCACATTTGCTGCATGAGAAAGACTTGTTGCGGCATCGCCGTCTGGGGTGCCCGTCATGGTCAACATATGTCAACATCATCACAGTTTTTCATCGGAAAACAGAACCAACATGAACCAACTACTGAAGGGCGAGAGTCTGAGGCACTCTGAGGCCTATGCCATCGAATGCTGGCAGTCGCATGTCCTGTCAGGTGCTGAAATTCAGTGCAAGGCATGGTGCTCAATTCCTTCCCTGTACACTGCATGCATATGCACATTGAATTCGACACACATTGCAGAGATCGAGATCTTTGCAGAAACCACAATGATGTATCTGATACTTGACAGTGTCACGCCAGCACTCAGTTGCCTGGACGCTGTACGAAACTGCAAAGCCGCACTTCTTTGCACAGCTGTGTTGCTCTCCACATGGTCCATTAGCAATGCACACAGCATTGCTATGTCACCGTGACTGTTCGGGACGGATAAACAGCTGAATAAATGCGTAGCACGCTTAGACTGAGAGGTGCTGTATTCAAGGCCGGTGCTTCAACTTTCAACGGCAGTGATAAACTTATGATTCAATAATGGCCCTGAATAACACAACAAAAGAAAAAAGAAGCAAGCCAACGCGGCTGAGATAGCAGGACTCTGAACCCCAGATGGGCCAGGAACAGAACTTCCAAGTATGCACGAATCCACAGCTACATGGGAAAGCCAAGAATTGAAGCTCCAAAGAATTCCTTCTACTTGCAAACAATGGAAAGCACCCGGTGTATGTGTGCGAATCTTTACGAATGCTCCTAGTGCCTGTTCCACTCATGCTATTCCCCGGATCGAACATTTTCAGACGTTGGCTTTCTGCGCAGATTGAACTTATGTGGCCACACCTTCGTCGATGTCCAACGTTGGCACAGTATTGACAGTATGACCGAACCTTCCAGTTCTTAACTAGTTGAATCAACTAAACTGAGATAGGCCACATACAAATATGTACAGAATAAATGGTTCTTTGTACATGGATCTTCTTAAGAGATCCGTTTAGCTCATAACAGCGTGCAGCCAGATCGACGAGCCTGCAAGATAAGACAAGTGAGAATTTTTCACCTACGTGCACTTGCTCCTTCCCATCTTAGAAAAATCTGCCTAAATCCTGGGCGCATGAAAATCATAGCGAAATGGTCTACAAGGCATTCAGTTGAGCTACAGTATGTTGAGCTTTAAAACAATGCATTTTTTGAGGAATCCCTGGAATCCCTATGCAAGCTGCAAGCTGCAAGCTCTCAAGAGTGCCTTTGCTGGCGACGCTTCTTCAGTGGACGCCGGCGCCTCTTGGCAGAATACACAACTTCGTCACTGTCGACCTGTGGCTATCTGATATCAAAAATCCCACGAAATCCCACGAAATCCCACGAAATGCCCCACCTCCTCAGCGCTTTGCTTGCGTTTCACCTCCGCATTGTCTTCAGCTTCAGGACTTGAGCCCAAGGGCTCTGCCTGATGGATCAATGTCTGGATTTTTTTTTGTAACTGGACATAATATGACATAAATGACATGGCAAATGTGTGATCTGATTATCTTATTCATATTCTAGCTTTGGGTCCTGAAAAAGGCATGTGTTTGACATCTGTTTCTCAGCGCACCTGCAGCTTCCCTTCTCTGAAGGCTGCCACGAAACCGCGTATTTCCGCAGCATCGAGATCCTGCAGATTGCTGGTGACATTGTCAACTCATTGAGAACTTTAAGAACGCATGATAGAGATTGATAGAATAGGTAACTAGATGTAACTAGAATCTACAACTAGAATGTAGTAAAATCTCAGAATGTCATAGAAAATCGAGAAAAGCCTCTTCTCCACTGTCCCCACCTTGTCAGATTCAAGACGGTAACGCTTCTCACCGTCCACATCAAGTATGACCAAAGAGGGGCTGGCCGTCACGGCACTCATCTCCCGCACCTGAAAGATAGCTGTGGTTTAAGCATCAAAATAGCTGGTATTAGCTAGTAAATGATGGTAAATGGATCTTCATCCCCCCCAAAAAAATATGGTGTCATATGGTGTAATAGTTATTGAATTGTGTTGACTCAGCCCCAGATATGTCCAGTTACCGGATTTGGAAGCCAAGCCATCTCACCAGGCCTGTGGTACAGCTCCAGAGGGCTGTAAAGCTACAAAGAAAATGATTGCTGGAACCTCAGGGATCAACGCAGGAATTGAAGTGGAGGAAACACAAAAGTTGTTGCCCAGCCTGTCCATCAACACGTCCAAGCGATGCATGTACCTGTAGCTGCTGTAGCTGCTGTAGCTTTGATGAAAGTGTTTGGATGTGCTTGGTACTCTTGGTGTATCTTGGGATATCTTGGGATATCTTGGGATATTCCAACTTGGGTTGCCTTGGGTTCGCCAAGAAATGTACAGATTGTTACATCAATCTGTAAATCCAGGATCAATGGCGCCACCTCGTTGGCGACTTCCAGGAGGTTCTGAAACAGCTGGTGCTGCCTGCCAAGGCGATATCGACCCATAGTGACTTTCACTGTCCTTTTTCCCGCCTGTACGGTGGCAAGCCCTCAAGGAAAAGGCACACGCTGGGAACCTCAGGAAATCATATAAAATAGTGTGAAATAGTGTAACGTCATTTCTAAAAAATCAGAAGCTCTGCAAAAGAATCAGCAAATCTCACAAGCAGGATCCTATGCCACTGGGCTCGCAATGTATTTCCCAGCCCAGTAACCGAATTGATCTCCTCGATAGGGCGTGCCATGTCCAGCCTGCAGGGATCCAATCAGGTTCTGCAATACAGATTTGGATGGACAGTGATGGAGCTGGCGAAAATCTGGCCAAGATTCTGAGTGCCCCAACACAGGTCGTTGGTACATGTCCAATCTCCGCTCCACCACCTCCATGATGACACCTCGTGACAGTGCCTGCCACGACAAATGTTTATGAGATTCCAAAAGGCACAATTTCTGTCTAGGTCACAGATTCACCCTGAAATTCAATACACATGCTTTTTCCTGCAGATTCACTTCAACACTCCACCTCGCTTTTGGTCGGCTTGGGAAGATACTTTGTGTAGTCCCGGTCGTGCGTGTATGACAAACAACTCGGTCCAACAGCCAGGCAGTAGCTCCGGGGAGACCAGGGCACTCAACCACAAGTAGGTCAAATCTTGTCACAGGGTTTCGTTTCACTTCAAGAATGTCAATATTTGCTTGCAAAGACCACTATGATGCAACTCAGCGAGGCCTCAGTGCTTGACGGCTGAGTCCCCAACATTGGATCTGGAGTCTCAGCATTAGAACTCCGAAGTCTATGCAACTGATACGCTTGACTTCGGAGGCGGTTGAGGAAAAGCTAGTCTAGATATTCAACAAATGTACGCCAATGGCCAATAAAGTCAATAGTTTAGCTTGGGCTTTCTCATGCAACGCCTTTATAAAGTAACTGCTGGATACTCTTTAGATTGCAATGCTTGGAATATGAGAGCAACCAATTTCACGCTTCAACGTACAAACCTTGCCTGTGAGTTGCGGTAGGTCTCGCTGACCGACCACAGTATAAAGTTCACACGCTCGCCAGACTCAATATTGTCGGCACCTAAAGACGCACGTCCGCACGTCTCAGTGGCTAACAGATTTTGATTCACTGCTGTGATTTCCAGTACTTCAGAAAGGTTCGACTAAGCTGCCGTCCATGGCGATGTCTGCCGAGATGAATCACAGCACGCCCCTGTGCAAGTGCGAATGGATACTTGGATAGTTTTGGTTTGAATCAGTTTGAATTGGTCGAAGAAAGCACATGCAAACACCACAAACCATAGCACCTTCTCATGAGTGTAGGTGTGCTGAAGCTTTCTGTGCTTCTCATCCGTCACCAAGCCGCAAAATGAGAGCGTTGCTCCGGTAAACTCCTCAAGGAGAATATCATGAATATGTATGAATAATTATGAATATGTCACCAAACACATGCAAAAGAACCAACTGCAGTAATCATTCATTCGAGGGGAACTTCCAGTCCAAGCCAGTTTCTGTGGCCCACACTTTCCCCAGGCAAGCGTTTAGAGTGATGTCAGAGTCATCCTGCCAACTCGAATTGACGGCGCACGAGACACCACGAGACATTGTCAGTGGCATCGAGTGCACCCAGGGCATCGAGTGGATGCCGCATGCAGTCCTCATGCATGTCGAGGCCAACATCCTCGTCAGCTCTGTACCTGACTGTGATTGCTTTCATAATGCCCACCCTGATCTTGTGTCCCACTGTGTCCCTTTCATTCGTTCCTGCATACTTCTGTCTGAATGGAGCCTTGTTGCTCCAAGTAAAACAAAATCCTATGGGAAGACCGATTTCAGCAAATTGCATTGTAATTATGTCAAAAGACAAACCACAAGGCTGTCTCAACACGACGTAACAAATCGAGCCTCACAATAAAGCAATGATGATCTTCACATCCCTTGGACTCTGTTGGGAAGAGGGAGGTCATCAGCGGCATCAAGTATTCCTGGCGACAGTCCACCTTCCTAATCCTTTGACCTGCCGTACACCGTGTATGCTGGATGTCCAAGTGTGAGATTTAGCTTTGCTTCTTCCACTAACAGCTCAGAAATGTGTAGTAACAGTGTAGTATGTATGACTCCTGCTGAAGAATCGTGATCAATGGCTCCAATCCTTAATAGGTGTACGGCTTCGGCTCCAAGGGTCCAATTTCTCAAAATCCACTGCACACCGAAGCCACCGAAGCAGGGTAGGTTCCGCGCCCATCTGATTTAGCACAACTCCATACCTGCAAAATACACCCAGCACTCAACAGCAATAGCATCCGGGCAGAGACTCTGGAATCACAAAAGCATCAAAAGCATCCACACTAAAATGCATAATATGCATATAATATGCATACGTACTAGAGTAACTAAAGCAATACTAAAGCTATCTACTTGCCCGTGAAGAATCTCGCCTGTTCATCCCATTTGGACGATCCAAAGCCTGAGAAGCTTGGGGCGGCCTAAATAGAAGACCAACATGGAAAGAGTCAGAAAGAGTCAGAAAGAGTGAAGCTGAAGGTCACTGAAGGACTGTTGCATACTGTTGCTACATGTTGCTACTTTTTTGCTACTTTCATTTATGTTCTTCCTTAGTCTACATTGGCCTTTTGGATCCTTTTGGATCCTCTTGGTGATCTTCGACATGTCAACCTTTAAAGATGTTAAAGCCTTGCAGCTCCAAACCACCCTGGCCACATGTCCTGGCCTCACGGGCTGTTTGCTGCGCATGATCTATCTCTTCAAGTAGCAAATTGCAGAACCTGGCAGCGAAACACACAAAGGTCCAAGAGTCCAAGAGCACAGAGAGCTACACAAATCTGTAGCAGCTACAGCATGCTCGGAGTTGTCGAAGATATGCTTTGCCCATTCAAAAAGCCAAGTTCTGGCAAGAAAAGAAATGAAAAGAAGAAAGCGACAGAAAACCAGTCTGGGTGGCTCTAAGTTGAACATTTCAAAAGAGTAAACACCGGGCGCTTCTTCTCGCAACACCTCAGCCGATTGTGGTGCACTGCTACTCACTGCTACTGCGTTTGGTTTGCTTGTTTCAGAGAACTGTTGACCCTTTCTAAATCATGGACACGTTGTGCAAACATGTGCAAACTGGGTGAACGGCATCCTTAAAATCTGGATGTTCAGCAGTAGCAGCTGTCAAAAAGGTAGGCGACAGCCACCTGCATTTGGAACGCGTTTGACATACTATTGGTCCCTATGCACTTCCGTCATACATCTGCGTTCTAAATCCTGAAGCATCACCTCTTCAAGTTTTCGCGCTGGTTTTCGAACAGCTCAGGATGCAAAGGCTTGTACCGGCCTAGCAGCTGACAGTTGTTCTGGTTCCAAGGCTTTTTAGATGCAAAGATGGGACGGAAAACGAGAGATTACAAAAGTCCTGCCAACGCTTGAATACCTTGAATGCATCAAATTTGCAATGCATATGGCACAGTGTGCTTTTGTTTGTGCATGGTTCTATCACACAAGCACCAAACCTGCTCGATAAATATCTCCGAAGTAGTGCTTGCGTACCTCCTGCTTGCCTGCAAGTTCTTGCTATGCGCAGTGATTCAGAGGGTGTTCAAAGCACGTCGCTTCATTGCGAAAAGTATCAGAATACAAAACAGCACCTAACAGCACCTGACAGCACCTGACAACACCTGACATGACAGTACAAGTCCACACCCAGCTCCCATGCAGAAAAGGCATCAGCTTTTTGGATCCTCGCTGCAGATGCTTCCAGTTGGCATAAGAAGAAATCCGCAGAATCTTTTGCTGGTCGCAGGTCATCCAGAAGTTTCGCTGGACCCGCGAGACAGGTGGTGTCAATATCTCAGGCAGCGAGTTGAGCACGTGATAAAGTAACCAAAAAATTGAGCACGTGTCGTTTTGTCTCTGACTGAATCTCCTGCCCTTTCTTTCGTCAATGACATGACGCTAGATGTCAACTACGATCAATCCACCGTCCAATTCATTCAACTGAAGGTGTGGTTTCTTTCCCTTACCGTCTACGCCTGCGGCTACGGCGACTGCGACTATCTCTACGGCTGCGCTCACCTTTGTTTCTGTCTTTGCTTCCTCCTGCCATGCACGTCTTGTGAATGAGGATGCAACTTTTGGCACTACTGATCCATGCACCGATCCTGAATCCAGAATCAATATCAATGGCTTTTTGATTACTGGACACATTTATATATGCCGTTTGCTCACACGAAAGATGAGACGCCGCTCCAAGATTAGATCTCCCCCAAGTTGCATAGTGCAGAAGTCAAAGGTCACTTGATGCCATAACTAAGATCGGTTCAAGCTCAAGTTATGGGTGGATTTTTTTCAGACCCTGGGACCTGCTCAGATTCATCCCAATGTGGCCACGGTGGGGACTCCATTTTGACCCATGCCCAAGTGGCCAGTGAGCCTCTGACGGGCTGGCTCCGACGACTTCGAATTGGCTCTGGCGAGCTAAATTCTTCCGGGCGCCAGTGGCTGGCACTCCTGCACAAAAACTGCAAGATATGCAGCAAACTTGGCAAAAACTGCAAAACTTGCAACACTTTTAAAAACCGGCAAAAACTGCAAAACTTGCAACACTTACAAAAACTGCAAAAACTTGCAAAAACTGCAAAACTTGCAACACTTTTAAAAACTGCAAAAACTTGCAACACTTTTAAAAACTGCAAAACTTGCAACACTTGCAAAGCTTGCAAAAACTTGCAAAAACTGCAAAACTTGCAAAAACTGCAGAAAACTTGCAAAAACTGCAAAAACTTGCAAAAACTGCAAAACTTGCAAAAACTGCAAAAACTTGCAAAAACTTTCAACACTTGCAAAAACTGAAAAGTGTGCAAAAACTGCAAAACTTGCAAAATTTGCAAAAACTGCAAAAACTGCAACACTTGCAAAAACTGCAGAAAACTTGCAAAAACTGCAAAAACTGCACAAACTGCAAAAACTGCAAAACTTGCAAAACTTGCAAAAACTGCAACACTTGCAAAAACTGCAAAACTTGCAAAAACTTGCAAAACTTGCAAAAACCGCAAAGCTTGCACAAACTGCAAATTCTGCAAAACTTGCAACACTTTTAAAAACTTGCAAAACTTGCAAAAACTGCAAAACTTGCAACACGTTTAAAAACTGCAAAACTTGCAAAAAAATGCAAAACTTTCAACACTTGCAAAAACTGCAAAGCGTGAGCGTGCAAAAACTGCAAAAACTGCAGAAAACTTGCAAAAAACTGCAGAAAACTTGAAAAACTTGCAAAAACTGCAAAAATTGCAAAACTTGCAAAAACTGCCAAAACTACAAAAACATCCCTACCCCTATAGAGGGGGAGGGCGGGGGGGGGACAAAACCAAGCTGTCGAATTCCATTTTATTTTGCTTGGAAACCCTGGGATAGTGATCCAACCCCTCAAATGGAATTGTAAAGTAACATTTCTTAACAAGCCTTGGGCACTGGTTAGAAAATACTTGCCTCCGGAGCTAAGCGCAAGTATGATGACGGCGGCGCAATTTTTGGAGGGATGCCATCCCTACATATGTGCTGCTTCAGTCTGACATGTGCTTAGCTCCTCCGGAGCTAAGCGCAAGTATTTAATTTTCATGTGCTTGCCAATGACATGGAATGATGAGGAATATTGATCATTGAGAACGCATGATTGCAAAAATGGAATTTCAAAATGAAGTTTCAGTACGACTCCCCCCCTCAAATTCCATTTTTAAAAGGGTAGGGATACAAAAACTGCAAAACTTGCAAAAACTGCAAAACTTGCAACACTTTTAAAAACCGGCAAAACTTGCAAAAACTGCAAAATTTGCAACACGTTTAAAAACTGCAAAACTTGCAAAACTTTCAACACTTGCAAAAACTGCAAAGCGTGCAAAAACTGCAAAAACTGCAGAAAACTTGCAAAACTTGCAACACTTTTAAAAGCTTGCAAAAACTTGCAAAACTTTCAACACTTGCAAAAACTGCAAAGCATGCAAAAACTGCAAAAACTGCAGAAAACTTGCAAAAACTGCAAAAGCTTGCAAAACTTGCAAAAACTGCAAAATCTGACGCCACAAAAATAGCCACAGCAACAGGCGTTCAGGGTGTAAACCCTGAGTCGGGATTACGGGCACTTGAGTCAGCAAAACTATCATTATTATCATCTTTCACCTTCGACCCCTTAGCTTGTGTTCACGTGTGATGCCACATACTGGTTTATAATTCCAATCCAGGTAGTATAACATACTAGAACCCACTATACTGACTAACCTGGTTGTTTTATAATTCCAAATCAGGTCGTATAACCCACTTTAGTAATTAACATATGTTATCTAACTATACCGCCGACCCCGCTTGCAGCAGGGGGAGCGCGTCAGAGGAGGAATTGCCAGCAGCAAGGGCCAACAAGTCATTACAAGCAGCAAGGGCAAGAAGCAAGAAAACAAGAAAGAAGAAGCAAGAAGCAAGAAGCAATTCCGGCAGGGCCCTGCTGTTTGGCTGTGGCGCAGGCGCCGTTTTGGGTCAGACAGCTAGGTTTTCTTGTAGGTTCAGAAAGCAACGTTAGGCACTCACGGCCGTGGCCCGCAGGCCCGGTCCGTCCTTCACTGCCATGGTGTTTGAGGCCTGCGACAGGGTCCTTGGACTCGAGCTGACGGCAGGAAACAGCAAGGTTTGAAGCTAGTTTCTAGGCAGTTCAGAAAGCAACGTTTGGCAGTATGGGCTGCCGGCCGCGGGCCCGATCCGTCCTTCACTGCCATGGTGTTTGAGGCCTGCGACAGGTCCTTGGACCCGAGCTGACGGCAGGAAAAAGCAAGGTTTGAAGCTATAGTTTCTAGGCAGTTCAGAAAGCAACGTTTGTGGGCTGCCGGCCGCAGGCCGATCCGTCCTTCACTGCCATGGTGTTTGAGGCCTGCGACAGGGTCCTTGGACCCGAGCTGACGCCAGGAAACAGCAAGGTTTGAAGCTATAGTTTCTAGGCAGTTCAGAAAGCAACGTTTGGCAGTATGGGCTGCCGGCCGCGGGCCCGATCCGTCCTTCACTTTGTCCATGGTGTTTGAGGCCTGCGGACAGGGTAAGTAAACTAGGACCCGAGCTGACGAGCAGGGAAAAAAAAAAAGCAAGTTTGAAGCTATAGTTTCTAGGCAGTTCAGAAAAGCAACGTTTGGCAGTAGGGCTGCAGGCCGCAGGGCGCCCGATCCGCTCTTCACGCCAGAGTGTTCAGAGGCATGAGGACAGGGTCCTTGGACCCGAGCAGTGACGCCAGGACCAGCCGGGTTTGAAGCTATAGTTTCTAGGCAGTTCAGGGAAGCAACGTTTGGCAGTATGGGCTGCCAGGCCGCAGGGTCCCATCCGTCCTTCACGGCCCGCCGGGAGGGTCCTTGGACTCGAGCTGAGGCAGGAACAGCAAAGTTTGAAGCTAGATTTCTAGGCAGTTCAGAAAGCAACGTTTGGCAGTATGGGCTGAACAGGACGGCGGGGGCCGTCGTCCTTCACTGCCATGGTGTTTGAGGCCTGCGACAGGGTCCTTGGACTCGAGCTGACGGCAGGAAACAGCAAGGTTTGAAGCTAGTTTCTAGGCAGCTCAGACAGCAACGTTTGGCAGTATGGGCTGCCGGCCGCGGGCCCGATCCGTCCTTCACTGCCATGGTGTTTGAGGCCTGCGACAGGGTCCTTGGACCCGAGCTGACGGCAGGAAAAAGCAAGGTTTGAAGCTATAGTTTTTAGGCAGTTCAGAAAGCAACGTTTGGCAGTATGGGCTGCCAGCCGCGGGCCCGATCCGTCCTTCACTGCCATGGTGTTTGAGGCCTGCGACAGGGTCCTTGGACCCGAGCTGACGCCAGGAAACAGCAAGGTTTGAAGCTATAGTTTCTAGGCAGTTCAGAAAGCAACGTTTGGCAGTATGGGCTGCCGGCCGCGGGCCCAATCCGTCCGTCACTGCCGCGACAGGGTCCTTGGACTCGAGCTGACGGCAGGAAACAGCAAAGTTTGAAGCTAGTTTCTAGGCAGTTCAGAAAGCAACGTTTGGCAGTATGGGCTGCCGGCCGCGGGCCCGATCCGTCCTTCACTGCCATGGTGTTTGAGGCCTGCGACAGGGTCCTTGGACCCGAGCTGACGCCAGGAAACAACAAGGTTTGAAGCTAGTTTCTAGGCAGTTCAGAAAGCAACGTTTGGCAGTATGGGCTGCCGGCCGCGGGCCCGGTCCGTCCTTCACTGCCGCGGAGAGGGTCTGGACTCGAGCTGGACGCAGGAGGCAACAGCAAAGTTTGCAACTAGTTTTCAGGGCAGTTCAGAAAGCAAACTGGGAGTATGGCGCTTGCCCAGCGCAGGGGGCACCGATCGTCCTTTCCTTCAATGCCATGGTGGTTGAGGCCTGCAAACAGGGTCCTTGGACCGAGCTGACGGCATGAAAACTGCAAAAGTTTTGAAGCTAGTTCCTAGGCAGTCAGAAAGCAACGTTGGCAGTATGGGACTGACGGCCGCAGGAGCCCGATCCGTCACTTCACTGCCCATGGTGTTTGAAGCCTGATCGGACAGGGTCCTTGTGGACCGAGCTGACGCACAGGAAACAACAAGGTTTGAAGCTAGTTTCTAGGCAGTTCAGAAAGCAACGTTTGGCAGTATGGGCTGCCGGCCGCGGGCCCGGTCCGTCCTTCACTGCCATGGTGTTTGAGGCCTGCGACAGGGTCCTTGGACTCGAGCTGACGGCAGGAAACAGCAAGGTTTGAAGCTAGTTTCTAGGCAGTTCAGAAAGCAACGTTTGGCTGTATGGGCTGCCGGCCGCGGGCCCGATCCGTCCTTCACTGCCATGGTGTTTGAAGCCTGCGACAGGGTCCTTGGACCCGAGCTGACGCCAGGAAACAACAAGGTTTGAAGCTAGTTTCTAGGCAGTTCAGAAAGCAACGTTTGGCAGTATGGGCTGCCGGCCGCGGGCCCGATCCGTCCTTCACTGCCATGGTGTTTGAGGCCTGCGACAGGGTCCTTGGACCCGAGCTGACGCCAGGAAACAACAAGGTTTGAAGCTATAGTTTCTAGGCAGTTCAGAAAGCAACGTTTGGCAGTATGGGCTGCCGGCCGCGGGCCCGATCCGCCCTTCACTGCCGCGACAGGGTCCTTGGACTCGAGCTGACGGCAGGAAACAGCAAAGTTTGAAGCTAGTTTCTAGGCAGTTCAGAAAGCAACGTTTGGCAGTATGGGCTGCCGGCCGCGGGCCCGATCCGTCCTTCACTGCCATGGTGTTTGAGGCCTGCGACAGGGTTCTTGGACCCGAGCTGACGGCATGAAAAAGCAAAGTTTGAAGCTAGTTTCTAGGCAGTTCAGAAAGCAACGTTTGGCAGTATGGGCTGCCGGCCGCGGGCCCGATCCGTCCTTCACTGCCATGGTGTTTGAGGCCTGCGACAGGGTCCTTGGACCCGAGCTGATGGCATGAAAAAGCAAAGTTTGAAGCTAGTTTCTAGGCAGTTCAGAAAGCAACGTTTGGCAGTATGGGCTGCCGGCCGCGGGCCCGA